GTGAGTCGGGCAGTGAGATAAAGGCTGTGGCCGGAGTGTCTATGTGAGGGGTGGTGGTTTGGGAAGACATTTCTGAAGAGACCGGAATGAGGCAAAGCATCAGCCATGTGAAAGATTCCACAGACGGAAGTCTCAGGGGGGTGAGTGAGGGGAAGGTGCCGGAGGGTCTGCATGGTCACCTGGCTGTCCGTGGGAACCAACCTGGCCATTCAGCACAAAGACGGGAGACCAGAGGCGGCAGAGACAGATGGCGGGACAGAGAGTCAAGGACGGCTCCAGCCTGTGGGGTGGATGGTGCCATTTACTGAGACGGGAAGGCAGCGGAGAAACCTGACTTGGTCGAAACAGCAAGAGTTCCTTCACATGTAAATCCAGGGCACGGAACCGGACATTCAGTTAAGAAGGCATTTGGATATGAAAGTGTGACCCCAACAGAGAGGTGACTTTGGGAGTCAGCAGCAGGTAACGGTACTGAAGCCCTGGAAAGAGATGACACCTGAGCAGCAGAGAAGGAAGCAGAGGACTCGGTGCTCCAAATCCAACGGATAGAGGAATGTCTGCAACCAGCCAGAGCCGGAAGCCCTGAGTGTAAAGCCACGCGCAGGGCTTTTGAAGGATGTTCGCCGGTGTCACGTGCTGCTAAAAGCCTTGTCAGATGATGGCTAAGATGATGGTTAGATGTGGCAACAGGGAGATGAGTGATTTTGAAAGGTACTGTTTAGTGACATGATAGGGACAAAGGATGGAGTGGGTTGGGAACATGGGAGGTGGAGAGGAGGAGTAACTGAAGGAGGCGGAACCAGCAGGAACCCTTTCTCAGCAGAATAAGTAACAGGGTCATAAGCTGAAAAGAACGGAAGTGGAGCACAGCTAACACTTTGTGAAACTAAAAGCCTGAGTGCAGTGAAAGGACAGGACTGCCGGCCTGTGCTGCGGACTCACTGGAGTTGAACTATGTCGGGGGCTGCTGTGCGTCTTCTCCAGTCACAGCAGCTGAAGGAGAGCTTTAACCAAGGTTGGTGTTTTGCCTGGAGAACAGGGTAGAAGGGAGAGAAGCACATTCTAGTGGTTTAGAATCTACGGAGAAGGAAGTGAAATGTGAAAAGAAGCTGTGATCCCAGGGCTCCAAGACATACATACTGAAGCCAGCACGGACAGTTAAAGGAGAGGGGCGTTTCTGCAGCGGTCGTTGGAGACTTCAGTACCCACCCTCTCACTGATGGACGGGACAACCAGAAAACCACCGGGTCTAGTAGACACATTAACAGGGTAGAAGGGAGAGAAGCACATTCTAGTGGTTTAGAATCTACGGAGAAGGAAGTGAAATGTGAAAAGAAGCTGTGATCCCAGGGCTCCAAGAAACACTGAAGCCAGCACAGACAGTTAAAGGAGAGGGGCGTGTCTGCAGCGGTCGTTGGAGACTTCAGTAGCCACCTCTCACTAATGGACGGGACAGCCCACAATGGCATGAAGTTAGAAGCAATAACAAGGAAAACTGGACCAATTAGGAAATTAAAGAGAAATCAGAAAACCTAGAGAGTGTTCTAAAACTTACAGGAGGTGGGGCTTGGGAAAAATTTACAGCTGTAAATGCTGCTGACATTAAAAGGAAGGAAATAATAAAGATGAGAGCAGAAATATAACAAAAATAGAGAAAAATCAACAAAACCAAATGCTGATTCTTTGAAAAGGCTGCCCTCTAGATGAAGATGAGGCCTAAACTGCTAAAATCCGAAACGAAAGTGGGCATTACATTGCTTCTACAGAAATAGAAACTATAGGTACTATGAATATATGCCAGTAAGTTGGATAACCTAGATGAGATGGTTGTGTTTCTAGTTATTTGTCCAAGAAAATAATGAAGAAATGTAAAGTAGATCCATCATTTCTAAGGAGATTCTATCCGTAATCAAAGACCCGACGCCTGCACAGGTGAATCCTACCGAACATTTAAAGAACTAACATCAGTATTGCTTAAACTCTTCCAGAAAACTGAAGAGAACCCTTCCTGTGACTTAGGAGTCATTCTGAGGCCAATATATTGCCCTAGTCCCAAAGCTAACAGGACCCTACAAACCAATATCCTTTTTAATACAGATTCAGAAATCATCAAAAATTCTAGCAAACAGAACTCAGCAGCATATTAAAAGGATTATATACCACAACCAACAGATTTATTCCTGGAATGCATGATTGATTCAATGTATGGAAACTGATCTAATCCTCCACACGAATAGAATGTAAAAATAAATAACACAATCGTCTCAATTGATGAATGAAAAGCATTTGACAAGATTCAACACATTAAAACATTCAAACTCAGAATATCAGGATACTGCAACATGATAAAAGTCATTTATGAAATACCCACAGTTGTCATCATAATCAGTGGTAGAGAACTGAAAGCTTTTTTTTTCTAACATCAAGAACAAGGCAAGGACGCCTGCTTGTAGTCTACATCGTACTGCAAATTCTACCCAGAGCAGTTGGGCAAGAGAAAGGAACAAAAGGCATCCAAATTGGAAAGGAAAAGTAAAATTACCTTTGTTCAGAGATGACAGGTCTTTGTGTAGAAAATCCTAAAGATTTCACACCAAAAAACACGTTAGAACTAAGAAACAGGAGATAAAATCAACACCCAAAAAATCAGTTGTGTCTCTATGCTAACAATGAATAGTCCAAAAAGGAAATTAAGACAATAATTCCACTTATAATAGCATCAAAAAGAATAAAAAGGAGGTAACACACTTGTACAATGTAAACTACAAAATATTTCTGAAATAATGACAAATGTTGGTGTTCATGGGTTGGAAGACTTAATATTGTCAGCAATACTACCACCCAGAGTGAACTACAGAGTCAATTCAATCCTTACCAAACTTTCAGTGACATTTACAGAAATAGAAAAATCTACCATAAAATTAATGTGGAATCTCAAGGGAACATAGACAAGAAAAACAAAGTTGGAGGGCTCCCACTTAGTGATTTCAAAATTTACTACAAAGCTAGTGATCAAAACTGCAGTACTGGCATAAAGATAGACATATAGACCAATAGAATAGAGACCCCTCTTTGAAAAAAAATGCATGGTTTATTATGTACATATCTATTGATATAGGATATTATATTCCAGTTACATGTAAAAATGACCTCTACCTGATATTTAATAGAAAATACTAAAAGGAAATAGTAACAAAACAAATACCAAAAAAAGTGATTTTAAAAATTAAAAAATACATTTAAAAATATTTATATCTTAAAAGTTATAATTCTTAAAGTGAAATTTAAAAACACATCACACATGGATTGACTTATCTGATTGTCATGATCTTTGTTTTATGATAAATATTCCAGAATTGAATGTTCTTTCATTTTGTGTCAACATTAGTTGAGAGTGTGTTTGGAGTGTGGATGTAAAAGGGGGAGAACCCTCACTTACATGGTCAAATGATTTTGTCAGGGTGCCAAGAGCATTCAGTGGTGAAAGAAGTCTTATCAACAGATAAAAAGAAGCTGGGTAAGCATGTGCAAAAGCTGAACACTGACCTAAAACCATATATAAAATTAACCCAAAATGTATCCAAGACCTAAAGGTAAGAGTTAAAACTGTAAAACGTTTAGAAGAAAACTAAGGGGAAAGCCTCACAGGACTGGGTCTGGCAATGATTTCCTGGTCATGACACCAAAGGCACAGGCAACAAAAGGTAAAGCTTCCATACGTTAAAGGACACTGTCAACAGGTAAAAAAGCAACCACAGAAAATATCTGCAAGCAACGTAACTGAGAAGGGATTAATCCAGAATATTCGGAACTCCAAAAACTCAACCAAAAATCCGATTCAAAAATAAGATTTCTCCAAAGAAGATATACAAATGGCAGGAAAAGCCGTTCAGCATCCCAGATCATTAGAGAAACACAGATCAAAACACAATGAGATACTGCCTCACACCATTAGTATGGCAACCACCAAAAAAGCCAGAACACATGCTGGTAAGGATGTGGAGAAACTGGAACCCTTGTGCCCGGCAGGTGAGAGAATGTAAGATGGTGCAGCTGCTGTTGGCAACAGTATGGCAGTTCAAGAAATTAAAAATAGAATTACCACATGACCCAACAACCTACTTCAGAATGGACACCCGCAGGAGCACGAGCTGCCCACCACAGGCTAATGGATAAAACATGGGGACAGACAGGATGGAGCATTTTCCCGCGTGAGGGAGGCGATCCTGACACGCGCTGTAAGATGTGTGAACCTTAAAGACACGCTGCGGAATACGCGGTCACACAAGGACAAACACGTACGGTTGTGCTCACGAGGACCTGAGAGCGGTCACACTCAGAGGCAGAAAGTGCACTGGGCTGCAGGGGCTGGAGTTACTGTTTAAAAGGGTTCACGTTTCTGTTTTGCAGGGTGAACACCGTTCTGATGGATGGTGTGATGGTTGCACAACATGAGTGAACTTAATGCCACTGAACTGTTCCTATAAATATGGTTAAAATGATACATTTTATGTTTAGCACAATTTTAAAAAGTTACTGGAGTAGGAGAGAGGACAGTTTGGAAAAACGGGCAGTGGCCAGCCCGGGATGCGCGAAATCCCGATTTTAAAGATGGTGCCATTGTTGATGATGACAGTCTGGCCTATGACAGTGGGCGCTGATGGCTGCGGCCTAGGGACTGAGGTGCCCGAGTGTTAGGTGACGTGGAGAGGAGGGACCCGGGTGTGTGTGGCGGGCAGGGCCCTGGGGAAGGATCTGAGGCCCTGGTGAGCCGCGCTTGTCCCTGCCGGTTGTGGGAAGTCTCACCAAAGTGACACCTGGTACAGCCTTTTAAAAGAAAACACTGTGCTAGGTTTCAGGTCTAAAGATGAAGCGCGTTTCTAAGGAGAGGCCCAAGGGCAGTGTTCCAGCTGCATTTCCTGGTGAGAGAGACACGCTCTCCTTCCTGCACGACTTGGGTGCTAATCGCTCTCCTTGCTTTCAGGGGTCCAGACTAGACGACCAGAGATGTGCGCCTCCCCCCGCTGCCACAAAGGGGCCGACGGTACCAGACGAGGACTTTTTTAGCCTCATTTTACGGTCTCAGGCGAAAAGGATGGATGAACAGAGAGTTCTTTTACAAAGAGATCAAAACAGAGACGCTGCGTTTGGGCTGAAGGGCTGCTTGCAAAGTGATGCTCTGTTGGAATTTAAAAATTCAGGAAGAAAATAAGCCACTAGTTACTACGGACGTATTTTTTAGTGACCCTGTGTCCCTTCAGAACGCTGTTCAGGAACTGCACCTACTTCTCTTTCCCGGAAAGGAGGGGTGACGGCATGTAACAGCGTGCAGGCTGAGGGCAGTGCACACACGTGGCGTGTACCGTGCAGCGTGTGCACATGGACACTCACGTGCTTTGTGGACGCGGCCGAGGTGCTTCCCCAGCTTCCGTGATCCGCCTGGGACGGTCCTCCAGCCACTCATTCGTCCTTGGCCCCGGTGCATCAAGTAGAAAGTTAGATGAACCCCGACGACTCTAGTCCCCTTTCTGAGATCGTATTTTTAAGCACTCCATTGACAATGGCTTTTTTATACTTAACATATAAAGAGAAAATATGTTGTCTAGAAAAAATGTGCTTGACCAATGTGTAGTTATATAAAATAGTCCCATAAAAAATCTAGGTTTCCCCCCTAACAAAATCTACTTTCAATATATTTTTGGGCCAAAGCCATTATAAATGAGACTCTTAAGAAATAAACTTTTTAGCTTGTTTTGGGCTCTTTGTTTAATTAAAAAAAAATACCAGCATGTGCCACTTACCGACGGGAGTTCTTGAGAAACGCCTCAGGAGGCGAGCACTGCCGATTCGCTTACACTGACCTGATGGCGCCATGATGTCAGAATGGCCGTGACGTCATAGGCGACAGGATTTTCAGCTCCATCATAATCTTATGGGGCCGCCGCTGTGTAAGTGGTCTGTTGTGGACCAAATCATCCTTACGTGGCACGTGACCATATACATCCAAGTAGGTACAGACATGGATGTATGCATGGTTCAAAATTGTATTTATTGCAAAGTACTGCTGTGAAACTTTTTAGGACCTAAAGTTAAAAAGCAACTATGTGGTCCATGTCATAAAAACATATAAAAACTCATAAGATTTCAGTCTGAAATACGTAGGTTAGGCCCTCACTTGTCATTAAGCCTCATCCCAGAAGTGGGAAGGTGTTCACAAGGACAAGTAACACGTCACAGGACACGACGTGAGAAAGGTCAGCAAAACGAGAAGGGACAGAGCAGAGCCTGGCCCCGACGCAAAGTGCAGGTGAACGCCCCCCGAGCACACAGAACGCATTCACCTCTGGGTGCTGCTGGCTGCACGTCCGGGATCCGGGGCTCTTTCTAAAAGTCCTCCAGGTGGTTCTGATCGGCAAACAGTGAGAACTACTCCAAATGGCCACGGTTTAAAAAAATAAAAAAGGAAGTTACACAATCGGAAATCACATTAAGCGCTGGGGGAGGGGGGGTGACAACACATTATTCTTGTCAGAAGTTTTAGCAAAAGTACTCGGGTAACCCCTGGATTGTATTATAGTGTACATGTTCTATACGGGGTATAATGTCCTAGAGTTGTCTCCTTTTAAACAGTGCACATGAGTTTCATGGGTCTTTATAAGAATATTGAATGAGCAAAGATAGGCATACCAACAGGGTAATATAAAAATAAGTGTTTATTGTGTACATATTCTAATTCTTAGACCCTGTAAACATTCAACATTATTCCTCAGGGCAGCTCCACCGGAGCAGGTCCCCTCAGCCAACAGGTCTCGTTCCACCAAATCTACTCCAAACTGCGGGCACCCGGTCCTTTGTTCACTTGCTACGTACCTAGTGTTCTAAATTTTGAGCTCCACCTCAGCCAACAGGTCTCATTCCACCAAATCTACTCCAAACTGCGGGCACCCAGTCCTTCGTTCACTTGCTACGTACCTAGTGTTCTAAATTTTTATATACAATTCTTTGTGTATTTCTTGGAAAAAATTACCATCTCTCTGAAGAAATACTAAAGATGTCCGCAATATTAAACTAGATTTCATGTAAAAAACATACCAGAAGTACAGCATAGGGAGCAATAATAATATTGCCATAACTATGTACGGTGCCAGGTGGTACTAGAAATATTCGGGGGACCACTTCATAAAGTATATGATTGCCTAAGCATTATGCTGTACACCTGAAACTAATACAAAACATTATTAAATGAAAGCTGTAGGTGAAAAATAAAAAGTTTTAAAAACCATCAGAAAGCAAACGCTTTGAATAAGTCTCTTTTTCTGAAACAAACACCTGAAGGGCACGTACCTTTAAGCCTATTCCCGACTGGCATCGTTCTGAGTGAGCAGCTGAACGTAACTTTTAGTGTGAATGTTAAAACAAGGGACTCTTAAATGTATGTGAAATCTGCTCTCTAGCTAGGTACCAACCAGCAAAACACACAAGTTTTTTTTTTCCAGTTTAAAATGAGGACTAGTTTTAAAACTCAGAATAAGTAATTTAAAACGCTGATTTATCACTTGTCTGTCACTAGGAAAAACACCTATTCCGTTTTCCCCATGGTATTCTTCTCTATGTGCAACCTCTGAAAAGGAGGACTTCTGCGGCCCTGACCACACGGTTTGCTAGAATGCAAGTAAGAAATTGTCACAGCTAACAGTCCGCGCTGCTGGGGTTCTGAGCAGCCAGGCCCACGGGCCTCCAAAGTCTGCACCCTTCACCGCGCGGGGAAACATCCCTACCTGAGCTGAGATTACCGCACACGCTGCTACCCGAAGTCCCCCCATCGCCAGTCTGTCTCAGGAGAGTGAAAGGGGTGACGAGGAAGCAGCCCCAGCAACAGCTGCGGGTTGAGAGATGCAAGTAGAGGCTACAAAGCCACTCGGATGGGTGTGCCGCCTGCAGACACGGACGCTGTAGTGCGGGCCGCGGCCCAGGAGATGCTGAAGGACATGCAGAGTGGACTTTCCTTAGAAACGGGTTGTGAGTACCCGCCCCTCTGGGGTGCCGTGCACAGTGAGCAAATAGTCCCCTGACTGAGGCCGGTCTTACAGGACTCCCACCAGGCAGCACACACCTCGGTTACCGGGCTCCGTGTGTGCCCGTAAACAAGAAAACTTCTTGTTCACTGTCCCTCATTCCCACTGGCTTCCTTAAGTACTGGGAATCAGTACTGCCTGCCATACTTGTTCACCTGAGATCCTGTTCCACAATTACTACTTTGAAACTTCATGGGATGTATCTTAACATCAAAGAGCATACATAATAAAACAGATAAAAGAAATTAAATGAACAGAAATACATGTGTTATTCTGATTGTCAGTAAAAATATTAACTCTTAAGTTGGCACATTTTTGGAGTAAATGTCAGAAATCTGTAGTAAACAGTTGTGAAGGGTGTACATTACAAGATTCTTTACGAAAAGATGGCCTCCGAGCTGTGGTGCCAGTCAGGGCTCCTCCAGCCTCACGGGCCGCTGGCCGGGTCCCTCCCACCTGCTTCCGCGACGGCCGTGCTCACTGGGCGGGGCGTGCCGCCCTCCTCGGGGCTGGGGCTGCCTTCGTCCTGAGTCCTGAGTGGGGCCTTTCCCGCTGCAGGATCTTCTGCCACCCCTGGCGCCCCCTGGCCAGAGCCGGGCTCAGGGTGCCGGCTGCTCTCGGTGCTGCCCTCTGCCTTCCTCCCGGGGTGCGCTTCCTCCCGGGGTGCACTTCCTTCCGGGGCTCCGTCAGTCTCTCTGGCCTAGAAAGCACAGAAGTACATCTTGTTTCAACTGTTTCCGTAACGATGTGCAAGGCTGGTAATCATGTCCAACAAGTGTCCATGCAAATCTGAATTCTAATGCTGGACCGTAACGACACAAACGGTCAGCCTCCAGGAAGCACACGGAGGAGCGGGACACGGAGGACACGGCGTGGTCAGGACTGGGGCCCAGGACTACGAACTCCTGGCCTGGAGAGAGTAAGTCATCTGACAAGCATGTGCTGAGCAGATGCTGGGGACACTGCAGGGACAGGCCAGGAAGACCCTGCCTCACCGGGACTTCCTTTTAGGTTGGGGAGAGAATCAGCAACAAACCAATTAGCAAAGCATCACCCTGGAAGGGGGCGGAGGGGGAGGGGGGGACTGCTGGTCTGAAAGGGACTTGGTGATAAAGGCATGAAGAGATGGTGGCTGTGGGGAAGATTCCGGATGGTGACTACCAGGCTCGGAGGCTCTGAGCTCGAGGACGAGTCAGGAGCGCAGCGAGGGCAGATGGCCCTGGGCCATGGTGGCAACTTTGGCTTCCACTCCACGTGAGGTGTGATAGGAAGTCACAGGAGGATTCCCGAGATGAGTGACAGATAGACATTAACTCTTAAAGCTGAAAGGAGCACCTTTCAGTTTTCCATGCAGATATTTCTGCTTAGAAGGCACTGCGTAGGAAGGGAATCTATAACTTCCTCAGCTCTACTGTGTTCGTACTATTTTTCAAAGGTTTACACTTGCAACTTAAACTTTGCAAATGACAATACAAATTCCTGCCTCAACCAAAAATGGAAATGTCGTCCCAGCTGCTTTGGCTCAGTGGATAGAGCGTTGGCCTGCAGACTGAAGGATCCTAGGATCGATTCTGGGTAAAACCCCAGCCCTAGTCGGGCATGTGCAGGAGGCAACCAATCCATGTCTCTCCCCCTCCCTTCCACTCTAAAAATCAATGGAAAACTATCCCTGGGTGAGGATAAACAAACACACACAAAAAGGAAATGTCCCTTTAAATGTTCAAAGGTGGGGAAAAGGCCTCACCATTCTGCAGGTCAAAAGCAGTCACCAGCCAATGATACAGAAGATTGGGAAGGCGAGGTTCTTGATCCCGCCCCCTCTTCCAGCCACGACTCAGCTCCTGTGGGCTCCCGCAGCCCGGCCCTCAGTGAGCCTTCCCTCTCTCCACAAGGCAGAAGCATTCGGAGCCTGGACTAACCTTGACCAGCAGGGGAAGATGTGAGCAATGACACCGTCAGTGACCAAACTAACAGTGCAGGTAGGAGTGAGGAG